AGAGCACCCAAGTTCTCATAACCACTTTTCAAGTCCCTAATGTCACAAAAAAGGACACAGTCAACCGATGTGGTGCTCCAGTGACTCCTCTAGTCCTTTTAAACCTTCCATCCGTAGAGATTCAAATACAGTTGTCCAAGGGAATAATGTACAACAGTAAATTTGTGTGCAAGTTGTTCCCTGAAGGGGAATTGCTTAAGAAGTACTCATAAGACTTGAAGTACCATGTCCCTGGGATACCTAAATTCCACCAAAATAAGAGCTCAGAATGAGGGCTCATGAGGAGTAGGTACAGTTGGTGGGGGGAGGGGATACGACCGAGGTTGCAACCTGTATTTTTACATTTTTTGCAATGGAAAGTTGGAGTTTTAGTTGAAGGGTGATGAGCCGCAGTCATCTAACAGAAGCTCTCACAGGTCATAAGTGCGCACTCAAAGGCATATGGCACGATAATTTTGTACTCGACCTAAAATGCTAGCAGGGTGCTATATAGTGGGGAAAATGGCGAAAAAGCGAAGTGAAACGGTCAAAAACCTGCAAAAAGCTTTTGTTCTACACGACTCAGAAGCAATTTCGGCTTCCCTTCGGCGGTAGTTACGGCTGCACGTATGCACTCACATATCCATGCAGCACCGCACCCCGCTTCATATCAGTCCTTCGCTTCATATTGTACTTCTCAAATGAAGCAATACAGCATCAGCATTGGTCAGACATTTGTGGGCGGGCGGGCGCGGAGGGCCTCCAGGTCGATATGTTGCAGCTACAAAGGTACCTTCCTCGGAAAAGACGCTACACAGCCGCTTAGAGACGCCGAATTCTCTCCTGCTAGGTGTATTAATCCTACGTTGGGGATTTATCTGCCACTTGCCTTTAAAGGGATTGATTTCAAGTTGTCCCTGGACCGTTGGCTGTTTATTTCAACCCCAGAAAAAGTCATCAGTTTTCGCAAGGGTTAGGATTTACATCTTTTGGCATCTGGGAGGGATACAACTCACCATGGTTTATTATTGGATGTTCCCGGTAGAGGTCCTCTTTTGAAGGCGAAAACTACCTGGTCATTCAAGTTCGATCAGAGTTCGCGTTCAGATACGGCACCATTGGTGCAGTATAAGGAAATACTGCGTCGCAGGGATTGAAACTTTCAGTTAGTGAACAAGCCCACTAGTACGTCAACAACTAACTTTGTCAGTAGGATCAATTATAGCTGCTAAGTGCTAACGGTGCTGGACGCCGTGAAGACAAATGATCTCATTGTTATATCGGATCTCCGATGGAAGATCTCACCGACGAAGCGTTATCGATAGTCGTTGTTCTCAGCCATCAAAGGAACATTTCATGCTGGTGGTGTGTTCGCAGGCCTACTCCTGTGCCTCACTTACCGTTACTCGTTCACTCTTTCCATGGCAGTAAAGAAGAAGGGTATGCTGAAACCGCTAAAAAAGGCACAACCGTACGCCTGGCTCCTGTAACAAGCATGGAATCCTGTGTTCTCAACAGTATTCACTGAAAATTATGAAAACTCAATAGGATTTCGTTTAGAGGCCTTGTCGATCGAGAAGATACTGTTGTTCTGTTGGCAAGATCTCCCGGTAGCTGCACACTTGGTCCATGTACCCTTGAGCTCAGTACAAATGTTAGACGAAGTGATGGTGAGGCCTTACAGCGGCATAACTTCTTCGAAGTGTCTGTAAAAATTGTTTTATGCAATCACAATTCCATTTTTTTGAGAATTTTAATGGGTTTTTGCATCTATTTATGCTGTAGAGCCCTCCAGGAGACACCTCCCTCACAAGAGAATTTCTGGGGTCTTTTGAGAAACGGTCGAAGTTTTCAGCAATAAAGAAGTTTCCCGATCTGAAATGTGTTTCGAAAGCAGGAACAGGAAGCTGGAAGTTCCAACAAGACCCAGAGACTCCTTCATTATGCCTTTTTTGGCAGTGCTTGTTTCAGGCGCCATCGTTCACCAAGAAAACGTCATCGGCGTTCCCGATGGATTCACTGATCTTCACAGTTCTTTTTATTGCGCCAGGCGATTCGGAGATTGTGGAGCTCAACGGCCGGTATTCCGATTCATACGAGGATTTGGTTCATCACTCGGTATCACTTAGATTTGATGCAGTTTACGGTGATCGTGCAGGCGGAGTCGGACCTGCCATTGTGACTCTTCAATTAGTGTGTTCCTCTTTTAATGCGGCTAAGAAGAGACGAGGAGGGCACAATAGTAGGCCTGACACCACCGATATGATCAGAGTGGAGAGACTGTATTGACGAGACCCTTCGGTACCTGAGCAACCCTTTTTTAGCTTATGCTTATTCTCTTGACCCAACTGCATCGTTTCCTGGCTATTCTCGTGACGCGAAGATTCTCTGTTATGGATGGTCGGATAGCGGATCAGTAGTGCATCCTCTCTCAGCGGACAAAAGCTGTTTGGCCATTAATGCCATACCAAATGGAAAGGTTTGTCGTGTTTTTCTTACACGGGCGCATCACCGCACTGTGGAAAACTTCTGCTAAGCACGACCCCTCCACAATTTCCTTCTTCGGTACAACCTTCGTTCACAACCGCTCTACCCCTCTTACAAACCAACCTCTCCCAAAATTTTACATCCAACCATCAGGCAGAATGGGGGGGGGGGGGAGCGGCATTTTTCAGAACTATCAGAAGCTTATGAAGCAGTTTTTATCTGCTGCCGTCAAGGGGGGGGGGGAACCAACGATCAAGAG